ATTATATTCCATGTCTGCCAATATATCCTAAATGTTACACATTGAACCCTTAAAGGTTCTTATAGTTTGTTTTAAATAGGGCTATATTTACAAATTATTTCCATTATTGATGAATCTGTCAACAACCTTATTGATTAATTGATAATTATTAAGTCTATGACGTGTGGGAAATGAGTGAAAAATGTCCATAATCAGAACTATGACCCTTGTTTCATCTGACCAAAACCCAAGGATATTCAATTTACACTACAAAACTGAAAAAATCATCACATTCAAGAAGCAGAAACCATTACTGTCAATCCACTAATCAATTAGTTGTTCAATAACCTCTGACATGCCTGTTACGTATCCTAAAACATCCCTGTGACAAGGTAACATGAGGTCTCATTATCGTAATGGTTGTTACATAACTGTCTTTTCTGAGCTCCTTTCCCCTCAAACCAGTTAAACTGCTGAGCTCTTTCTGGACACGTCATAAAAATGATTTCTCAACATCCCTCTGAAGCACTGTGGCACTTCAGCACACACACATTTTTCCTATTAAACTACAGCAAACCCTGGCAACCTGTACGGTTTTGTATTACAAATGTAATCAACAAAGTCAACACAGCAGATGACAGATGTCCAAATTAAACTGTGGCAAAAAGGCATATATAATTACTACACTTCTGAGGATGCAGCTCTAAATCGTCCAATCGTTTTTTTCCTCGGACAAACTGTCATTAAAGGCCTTTCCTTCACAGTATTTGCTGTCACACAGCGGATGATACATGGGAAGTAATAACCTGCAGCTTAATTCATCAGGAAACCACTGTATGTGATAGATCACCACTCAATACGGCACAATGTGACACTGAAATTATCCCAGCTGTCATTTTCACTGATGCATATATCACTTCAATGAATTCAATACATTTATCAGTGTGAGCATCAAATAGAGACAAATAAATGTTAGATACAGTGGACACATGGCCTCCCTCCACATGCTAGGCATACAATAACTGGTCCACCTTTACTAAAGTGTACAATTAATTCACATATGCTGGTTTAGTGCTTCACTTTATTTCTATACAACGCTCCCTCCCAGGTGTAATAATATGATTACTGTAATATTTCAAAATTGTAAAATCACACCTAAAGTTGTATTATGCTCTGTATACAAGTTTGACTGCATGATACACTTTAACAAAGAGACTTATTGGTGGAAGTCAAATACCTCAGGGTGTAGAGATCACACAGAATACGGTCATGTAAAAGTAATAAATCATTAAAACATATAAAACATTCACGGAGCCTCAAGTCAAACTGAAATCGCAAGAGGGAACATGCAGTGTGTTGCATTATGGGTGTTTTTGGAACATAAAAGATGAATCCACTTGGGATAAACAATGTTGAACATGAGCTGCCGGAGCTGTCAATAGGCTCTATGGGAGGATTACAGTAGTGCTGAAATCATTAGTTGACTAATCGATTGGGAGACAAATAAAGGTCCAGTGTGTAACATTTAGGAGGATCTGTTGGTAGAAATGTAATATAGTTTTAAAGTTATCTTTTTATTACTGTATAATCACCTGAAAATAAGAATCATTGTGTTTCGTCACCTTAGAATGAGACGTTTTTATCTACAGAAGGAGCAGGTCCTCACCTATAGAGTCCACCATGTTTAACCACCATGTTTCTACAGTAGCCCAGAATGGACAAACACTGACTCTAGATAGGGCATTTTGCTTTTTTTGTGAGATTCCTAGCCACTGCAATTTCTCCTACATGCTTGGGAGGCGAGTGGTATTCAGTTGGTTAGATGCCACTAAAAACACACTCCCCCTTTAATTAACAATTTTGGTAATATAAGTAATTTATCAAGCAAAATGCAAAATGCTCTTGGGTTCGAGCTACTTAAATGTAAGAATTTGTTGCTTTTCTCTGTTTTATATCATCACAAACTGAAAATATTTTATTATTATTTCTAGACAGCAATATCAGTCAGTGGACCATTTTGGTCCAGACTGAAATATCTAAACAATTATTGAAAAGATTGTCATGAAATTTGCTACAGAAAGTCATGTTGCCCCTCAGGATGATTCAAAATGAGTTTGGTTATCTAGCGTCATCATCAGGTCAATTTCAATTTGTCCAATATTTTGGTTTATAACCAAATACCTGCAGAACTAATGACATTCCCATCAGCCTTAACTGTACTTTCTCTTTAGTGCTAATAAGCAAAGGTTAGCATGCTATCACACTAAACTAAACACAGTCAACATTATACCTACTTATCAGCATGTTAGCGCGCTGATGTTAGCATGTAGCTCAAAACACCAATGTCTGCAAGTACAGCCTGACAGATCCACTAGCATGGCTGTAGACTGTTATTCTTGTTATAGGGTTGATCGATTGATTAAAATAAGTAATTTGAAGACCTGACAGGGCATTTTCACTATTTGAATGGCTACATAACAGCAATCATAAAAATAACCTTTAGTTGCAGCCCAAGACTGCAGTTCTGCACTTTCGCATATTGAACATACACTACACAAAGACACTAACACAGCAGTTATTTTTCTGCTGCCTTCATGCAGTAGAGCTTCAGACATCCATCATCCCTTCTAGCAGTGCAGACAAAGGAGCGACAGTCAGTGGAGACTCCTGACAGGCAGGGAAAGATATTGTCTATATCTCCCATCTATCACAGCCTGCAGCCTGCAGGAGGGTGGAGTTTATATTCTTTAGCAGGCCTTATCAAGTAGCTCCTCTGTGTTCAGGGTTTAATATTTACATTGCATGGGGGCCTGGACCCAAATGGCACCACAGTGCTGTAAAACACATCCTCCTCTTGTTTGTCCTTGATCAGAATGAACCACAGTGGAGTGAAGCCTGCATCTATTTAGCCAACAGCTGACAGAGAGAGGAGAGACAGGGAAACAGTAAGTCTGTAGGGACCGTGCCAGTCTTCCAGTCTGTCATGCTTCATGCCAGCCTCCCGCCCACAGTCTAGTCTGCAGAGCCAACCCTGTTAGCTGCGACAGCTGTTATCACAATAACTGAGATAAATCGATAACACAACAACACACAGGCTTACACAGATGGACTCACACTCACCAATATGACACTCTGGCACAGCAAAGTACACACATGGAAGTGTGCTCACATTCACTTCACTGATAAATATGCACACCTCAGCTCCTGCAAGCAGCCACAGGGCTCAGATGATGTGTACTACAGGATCTAATTTCAGTGTCAAAAAGATTAACTGGATTTTAAAATGATATGCTTATTGGTAAAATGCTGCGAGTACAGTGCAGAGTATACATAAATAATTTGTCTACCTGAAGCTGGTTTGTATTGATAAATACAAACACAAAAGACTCCAACTTCACTTTGATCCTGGCAGTGGTTGGGATAACTTTTCCAATTCTTTGCATAAGTAGAAGTAATAGTAGCACAGTGTAATAGTACTAAAAGTTAGAGCCCGCTTTTAGCTAAAGATATATCATGTTGGCGTATATGTCAGGTGAAAACTAATAAGAAATGATAATGAAGAGATACCATATTATTTTATATATTATATATATTATATATTTTAGCTACAGTATTTTTTTTGGTGAAATGGTAAATGGACTGTACTTATATAGCTACTTTCTAGTCTTCTGATTCACATATTGATGGCACAGCATCAGAAACTATTTGGGGTTCAGTATCTTTTTGTGCAGGGGGTCCAACTTTGTGAGTAGTGGATGACTTACTGTACTTCCTGAGCCACAGCTGCAACAATATTGGCCTCAAAAAGTATTATCAGCAAATTGTACTGAAGTATTAGGAGTAAAAGTAATTATTTTGCCAAAAAGCCCCTTTCTGAATGTTTAGTTATTTTATACATGCCAATATGGGGGTTTTATTTATTAGTGAAGTTGGTATCTGAGCAGTTGCACTCCAGGCCAATAGGGGGCAACAAGATGGTCATGGTGCCGGCCCTCCCTGTTACACAATAACAATATAATGTACCTAGGCACTTGGTTGGTGTGTTATGGATATCATGAGGAACAACAGTTTTTACAATTCAAACACAATTAAAAGAAAATCAATGAACTGCAGGATTGTGCTACAAATCAAACTTCACGTCCCCAAACCACTGCAATCCAACACCACGTTTTAGTGTTTGTCATGTAAGAAACAAACTAAAGCCATTTATTTACCACAGTAACAGTTAGCAAGAGCTGCCAATTATGCCATACAGGATGGTTTAAGTTAAAAGATGCATTGTATTTTACATGATTGTGTGTAAAATCCCAATTTTATGTATTTAATGTAAAATGTATAAAGTGAGTATAAAGAGCACATGCAGTAATGGAAAAATACATCATAATAATGAAAAAATTGTACTGAAGTACAGACCTGAGCAACAACCACACACATCTTGATGTGTGCGTGCGTGAAAACCATGATCATGATCAGAGCTGTTTTCAAGTCTTTTGGATCAAGTCCAAGTCAAGTCTCAAATTAATGACAAAATGATCTTCACTAGAGCTGCTTTCACAATAAGAGCCACTCAAACTAAGGGACTGAAATTACACCTCCACTTGTATCTTAGCAAGATTGGACAATAAACACACATTAATCAATGGCGAAAAGTTCCTAAATACATATCTAAGTACATTTTTAGGTAAATAACATATTCTTTTACTTTTCATACTTAAGTAAAAGTACATGATCAGCAAAATGTTTAAATGCAGACTTTTACAAGTGATGAAGTATTTTAATTGTGGTATTTTTGTTTTACTTAAATAAAGGATCTGAATACTTCTGACAATAATTAACACATACACCCCCCTCCTCCTTTTCCTGCCCCCCTCCAAACTTACCTCTTCTTGATGAGGTCCAGTGCAGATCCAATGAGGCCATCTTTCATCTTATAGATCTTGGCTCCGTAGCTGGACAGGTCCGTCCCCTCCAGAAGGAGAGCTGGGCAGCAGCTGGAGGGCCGATCCCAGTTCTCCCTGCTGGGCGGGAAGGGAACCGACCCAGCTGGTTCCAGGCTGCTCCTCCTACGCCTGCTGTTCCCATCATCTCCCCATGTGGCAGAGGCTTTCTCTGGGGCTGAGCTGGCCAGGGGCTGCAGAGGGGTACGTGGAGACGGGCCTGTGCGTATAGGAGAGTATGTGCTGAAAACGGGGGTGGGAGCTTCAGTGCTGTTACTGCTCACAGTGCTACATGGAGATCTCTCTGAGGAAGTGACAGTCTGCAGGGATTCACCACTGTTGCCTGTCCTTTCACCTGTGCTCATTTCTCCTTCCACCTCTTCTGAGTCTTCTTGCTGTTTACTGTTTCCTCCACTAGAGTTGGACTGAGGAACAGTCCCATCAGAAGGTGTCTTACTGTCTGATGTTTCTGCTTCCTGTGGCAAGTCATTCTCAGGTTTTCCAGATACCACAGAACCAGCTGTGGACTCTTTGCTCTGTTCTCCCTCCTGCTGCCTCATCCTCTTAAACTCCTCAAACGTAGGGATATGTAGACGTCCCACAGGAGGTCTGCAGCGCTCAGATGCAGAGTCTGATCCACTCCTGTTACCTGCAATGTTGTCTGTTGTGTAGGATGTCTTAACCACTCTCGGGCTGGATGGGGAGCTGAGGAGGGCCAGGTTGGGGCTGCTGTTCTGCCGTCGGAGTTGCAAGCGCCTCAGGACCTCCTGCTTGATCTCCTCGGGGCTGGTGATGCGCACTGCGCACAGTGGCTTGGAAACAGCACATACTGAATTCATGTAATGATGCACACCCTCCCGTTCGATGGGTGCAGCACTTGGGGTCACCTGAGGCCGCAACGGAAGGGGTTTTAGAGGCTCAGCTGATGACCGTGCACTCTGGAGGCGGAGTTTCTCTCTTAGGCCTTTCCTTGCATCCCATTCGTCGACGCCACCTGGAAATAGCAACTGAGGGAAGAGCGGTAGGTCCTTTCTGGGCAGCCCATGTCGGGGGTAAAACGCCAGGCTCTCTGGGTTGGGTACAAGTCCATGGGCCCCCACTACAGATCCATCTGGATGACTGCCACACCAGTGGCTACTGGAGGTGTAGCGTAAAATAAACTCACTGTCCACACTCTTGTAGGGGGGAGCACTGAATGTGCACAGGCCAGGATCTACCACAGTGTTCCAGTTCAGGTTCTCCATACTCCTGTAAGGCCTGCTTCCATTGCTTCCTGTGTGGATGCAGGAGCCCGGGGCCAGACCCTCATCCGGCCCTACCCCAAGAATGTCCTGCCTGTTGGAGCAGTACCTCAGCCCCAGGTTAGTGAGCAGGGTGCTGCTGTTACACCTGGCCATGAGTGGGAAGGGAGGCCCCTGGTGGCCCGGGTAGTGAGGGACACTGGGTCTGTGTCTGTGGGGGTAGGAGGCTAAGGAGTCCGGGGACAGGGGGAGGTTAGCGATGCAAGGCTCCATGTCTATGATGAGGTCAAGGGGAGAGGCACAGCCAGCAGGAGAGCCGCCAGAGGCTTCGATGGAGGAGGTGGAGGGGTAATCACATGGTGGTGGAGGCTTTACGTCTGGCATGGCTGTGGGCTGAGCGAGCGGCCCTCAGACACATAGTGAGCAGGTACGAAGATCTGCAGCCTGCAGGGGCGAAGACAGAAAGGAGGACGATAAGATCAGAGATGTAAAGTCGACACAGACATTCATATAGACAACAACAGAGCCTGCCTTGCATCCTTTCAAACTGTGTAAGCTACTTTATCTTCAACTATATCGTTATGAAAAATTTCTAAACTAAAGTTTTAGTCAATTTACTACTTACTTTACATAACATTTTTATGATTTTCTAAAATGTCAGGGCAGCCAATATTTTACATAAATGTCTGTATTATGAAAATCAATAGCAGGCTGTTGCTAGGGTTGAGCTGTGAAATTTGTCACCAGTGAACATGATTTTAGTCAATATTATATTACTGGGCATGTTGACACAGTTTAAGTGTAAAAATGACTGATGACTTGATGTCCACTTTGATGGATAAAGCAACATGCACTGACAAACACTTAATTTAAGCTCCTAAGATGCAGATGCAGGTTTGAATGGCTGAATCATTAGATTAGAATTGTTTTATGTACAATACGCAGATAAAGATTCAGATAGGTATGTTTGGTATCTTTGGAAATGTTCAGATCTCTGTTCTGTAATTCCCTATCTAGAACCAGTTTTGGTTTTTGTGTGGCAAACATGTCAGACTCCACAAAATGCAACCCGACCCTCTGTAGATATAAATGGCTCATTCTCAGGTAATAAAAACATAATGATTCTAATTTTCATGTAAATATACACTGATGAAATTATACATTGTTTTAAATGTTACACACTGGGCCTTTAAACATAAATTTGATTATTTTATATTTAATTTAGTGTACATTACCATACTCTGACATAGATAAAGATTGAAAAAAACAATATTCTTGGTAATATTGTGATGTTGATTTCAACAATGTGGTATTGTTGCCCTTTATCAGACTAGACTCTTAGATCTTAGCCTGATAATACAGCTCAGATCTAATACTTTCAATGTATCCACAGTTCAGACTTTATACAGGATCTGCCCATAAGACAGATTTGTTAGAGGTCTTCAGCCACGGGGATAATCACACAATATATTGGAATATTGGATAACCACATCTATGGGCACGGAGACACTGTCTCTGAAACGTGTTTCCTTCACCAGAATAATTACATTCATTTTATAAAAATGGTTCTCTGTCTACCCCCTCCGGCTTTTTCTTTTTTCTTTCTCTGCAGCAAGAATAATAATAGAGGGATTATTGCCCTGCATGCTTGTCAGGCTATTAAAACATGAGATTGAGAGACAGATACAGAGAGACAGACAGTGCAGGAGGAAGAAAAAAGAGAGAGCTCTGGTAAAAGAGGCAAAGATGAGATGAAGGATGAGAGGAAATGAGTATGACGCTAAGAGAAAGCTGGAAGCTAAGGGGACAGTAATGAAGATAACTGCTCGGCTGTCCGTTGGCGGCCGGCTCTTCTCTTTCCTTCTGACTAATCAGACAGCAGTTGTAGATTAGCCAGAAGCCGAGAGAGCTGGCAAGACGGTACTGGGTGTACTGCAGCTCTTTCTCTCTCTCTGTAGTGAGTACAAACTGCATGTCGACCGCCCAACCCAAACGGCCATCATCCATATCTCATATTCTGTCTACATCACAGTCAGCAGCACAGGGTTAGGGATGTGATTATGACTACGATTATGAAACAGGGACTCAGAGGGCTCATCTCCGATGCATTAGGTGAATAATAAAACCCAAATCATCTTTAGACCCAAATGCTCCCAAATGCCAAAGCACGAACAGGCCGCCGCGCTTCTCTGCAGCTTTGCAGTAATAGATAAATCTCCATTCCTCACTTGCATTGAGGTAAGCAAGGCTGTTGTCAGAGTTAATCAGCAACCTCAAACATAGCAAGCATGAGCGCTTTCCCTCAAATCTTATTTGTTGGCTGTTCATTAAACGATGCTCTGAAACAAAAACCAAAGGCATTAATCTGTGGATCTTGAGTGAATACTTTCAACACTGACGACTGGAGCTCAGTGATGTCAATAGAAATTCATTCATAGAATCATAGTTTCTCTCATTTTATTAACAACTTTCTTCAAGGACAAGGTTGGAGATATTTTATATTTTTCTCACTGTCAACAAATTGCATGAAAAAAAAACAACAACAATGAATTGATCCCGCTAACAAGTATTACTAACAATTGCCATAGAGCTCCATTGTTCAGTGAGCCACACTGTTACACTGGGTGATGTGTTCCTTCATTACCATGAACGCACTCACTGTAGTTTATTTTGATTCAATCCCCCATACACTGTCCTGACAGACTGACACGTTTGCAGGGTTTGGTCTTTTAATTAGACCTATTGATTGGTTTGTATCACATGATACGATTTGTATGGCTATTATTTTGTGATCGTCATTATATTCATTTTCTTTATAGGTTCCGTTCCATTTAGTGTAGCAGAGCCTTTCCAGTGAGCCAACATGCACATTAGCAGCACCCCGACTCTGTTTGTCCTGAATGGAACAGAACCTTAGTTAGTATCATTGCATCAACGCCTGTGTTTACCCTACTATTTCCTGTCAAAATGGCTGGTGTGAAAAGTGTCTATAGTTGTTGAGACATTTCACTAAAA